TTTTTGGGGTTAATTTTACGATGCAAAATTTAATAAATTACCTCAACGAAACCACATACACACGAGCGCACCTAAATGACACACACATACAGACACATATCACTCCAACACTTTGGCTGTACAAATACAAATATGCGCGAGTTATTATAAATACGCGTGCCGTCTAAGAAATCTTTGGGGGCTGAGGTGCAAATGCTGTAACAACGGAAGTATTTAGATATGCGTATGTGTTGCAAAACGAGTTTTACACTGTTGAGTAAAACAATAGCGCCTTCAAGAAAATTCTTACCAGGTTTGCAGCATCGGTCACATACAAAGCAGACAATAACGATGCCGACCTCCCCATGCCAGAAAGCTTCTTCACAGGACCCATCAAACGATATTTGCTGGCCAATTAAAAAAGTCTTTTCGTATTTTGTCAACAGATGTCGTTGCAGTCGTTAACTCCAATATTACCAATTACATGAGTCATACCATTGTTAGTGTTATAAAGGTGATAATTTAAGCTTCTTTTAACGAAAAAAGAAAATTAAATTTGAGAAAGTTGAAAAAAAAAAAAAAATTACAGCTGTTTAGAAATGAGTGAAAATAATGAAGAAATTCGCGCAACAATAATTCGCTCGCTTCCGTTCTGGAAATTTCGATATGAGAGATGCATCTCGCTCTGGTCAATGTGTGTTCATTAAAGTTTATCATAAATATAAAAAAAAATAATAATTTGAAGCTTGATTGGAAATACGAAAAGACTTTTTCGACCACCCAATATAATCTTTGAATAGTGTCAAAAGTGGTGTGTTGTTATAGAATATGTGCATGTGTTAGCCGCTTCTAAGTGCAGACTTAGTAGTAATCTACTGTAGAGGTGCCCACAACATAGTTCTGTGTGTTCCCCAAGTTCCATCAAGAGTTCTAGTAAGTACTCATTATCAATCCGGGTGTTTTCGACCCTTTAAAAAACGAATCCCAATTATTCCACCTCAGTCTTCTAACATTGCGAACGCCAATGTACTTATGCTCTGCTATAGTGTGCGTGATGTTGATAAATCCCAACAAAGTTTTTACTTACGCATGATTTATTTAAGTTATGAATCAATTTTATCGCAACAACAACACAAATAAAAAATTTACTAAATCTACGCAGCTGAAGGCAACCGGGTGTGTGCAACTACGAAGGCGGCGGAAATAGTTACTACGAACCTACGCTTTAGCGAGGCGAAAAGTCAAGAAAGTGGTGTGTAAGGATAGTTTTGTATGTGAGCGCACTCATATCTGTGTTAACGTACACGCTAAGATAAAGCAGCGAAAGAAGACGATGAAGAAGATGAAATACTTTTGCTGCTGAGTTGATGCACGGAGAGAAAATTGTGAGTCTGGTGCTGTGAGTTCACAAAGTAATGGTGTTTAGACTTGCGATCCGAAATCCTATCATAGATAAAGTTAAATAAATTGATAGAATGGTGGAAATAAATGGATTATAGATGAAGCAGTGGGTTAGAAACTTGATGGAAATTTTACAATACAACAATTGAAGGTATTTTCGCTAGGTAAGCATTATTAGTAATGTTTGAAAGCTCTCTTAGGTTGAGCCCTAAATTAAAATATTTGTTTAGTTTCTTATAAATTTACTAAAAGCACAAATTTTTTAGCAGCGAAAAGTTGTAACCACATGCATGTAATCGAATGAAATACTATTAAATTGGAACGAGCTTTCACTTTTAATTTTTTATCGAGCTTTTTCGCTTAATCAGTGGAGCTTTTGCCGACAGAGAAGTCTTGAGAAAAAGTTTTGATTATACAATCGATTAGAAATACTATGAAATTTGCAGGAGCTTTCACCTATAATTTTTAATGGAGGTTTTTGGGGCGATTATTAGAGGTTTCGAGGACAGAGAGTTTTTAATGGAGTTGTTTTGCTTGATTAATAGAGCTTTTGAGAACAGATAGTCCTTAAGAAGAAGTTCTGAATACGCAATCGATTAGAAATACCATGAAATTTGCAGGAGCTTTCACTTATAATTTTTAATGGGGCTGTTTGGTTTAATAAGTAAATCTTTTGAGGACAGAAAAAGTTCTGATTATCCGAATTCTTTAACAGCAACTGTTTTATAATATGGAAGTAATAGGTAAGTCCCCGCTCGCACAGCTTACAAGAAAGCTTCCTTTATACCACAAATTTTTCACAGTGTCTCCTCGCTAGTTAAAGAGGTCGTTTACAGCTCTGTGAGCTACTTGGCCGGCTATACACACAAACTTAGCGTTGCGAAAGCTTTTTTCTTTCATAAACAGTTAAGGTGGAAGAGCGGCAGCGGAGGCGGCAACAGCATAAGCATAAGCAACAGCGACAGCGATAAAAATTACTTTCAAACTTGTTGGCAACACCGTTGTAAACGTGCAACTTTCATGTTGAGGTGTTTCTAAGTTATTTATTATGATTTATATTTGCAGCGCTCTGTCTGTGTATGGTGTGCATGTGAGTAGTGGCGGCGGGCGGGTGTTGAAGTCTACAGGCGCTGACGTGCGTGTGTGTGTGTGTGTGTGTGTGTACGGCGGCCAAATACGTTGACTGTTATTTTGTATGCTTGTGGTTAGCATTTATATGGGGTTGTTTATTATTTACGGAAATTATGCTCTCAGGCGACTATGCGTTCCCGCCACACTCCGCGCCCCGGCAGCTTAGTTTTCGACGTTTCTTTCGCAGCGTTGAGCGATAAGGTAAATATTAGTTCTTAGAATCACGTTCGTGAGCAGTTCCGCGGTTAGCGGTGTTGTGGCTTACGAGACGCCTTTGATAACCTGGCCTCCTGAGTAATAGCCTTGGCGACACAGTGATGGCCGATATTTGGCATACGTAATGATAGCTGATGATAAATTGCAATCGAAATCGGCGTTAGCGCGCTAGCATATTAGGCGATTACTTTAATGAGCCTGTGAGTTATGTGTGTTGGTATGTGTGTGTAGTAGAATTGCATGGCATGATGAAATATAAGTCCATTGTTGACAAATGACATCTATTAGGTCTGCTGATATAAAATGTTATTACACAACAACAATATTTGCCGCCTTTGTTTACTACTCGTCGCCGATAACAGTGCTTATCGCCTACTATTGTTTGCTTGATAAGCAATCAACTGTGATTAGTATATACTAATGAAAGCATGATAAATCTAATAAGTTATAAGCATTACATTTTTGTCTATAAGTCCGCACCTATATAGGCGGTCATTGGTATATAGTATATTGTCGGGATTAGGTTGGGATTAGGTTAGATTTTTCGTGGTAGAGAGAGTAGAGCAATAATTGACATCATGATACATGATTTTTTTCGATACTTTTATCTTAAAAACCGTGTTTTGATAATGCTTTGGTATATTAAGTGTGCCACGACATTTTTAATAATCTGGAGGATTGTACAGCATGACAAAGGTCTTATGAATTATCAGAGTGACGAACTGCGTCGATGTTCTAGCTTCGGCGAAATTAACATGGTTTCCGAATTTTTTTGTTTAACTTTTGGCTATTTAGTAATCCTTTGAGAGTTCCTTTGCTTTAGCGATCAGTCAGCCCAAAAGTAGATTCATAAAAATAACGAAGCAACGTTTTAACTCTGTAACTTCACATTCTTTTTCTGCGTAGGTTACTATAACCGTTAGTCTCGTTAACAAGTGGTTAGGGATTTACAGTACACGGTATAAGCATTGAAGATTATGAAATGAATATTTTCAAGAGCCTGTGACTTAAGAAAACAATAAAAAAAACTCCTCTAATGAGTTGAATGACACTAAAATGAGGTTGGTCGTGAGGCGGTTCGCATGAGGAGTGAAGGAGCACAAACTGTCACGCCTAAAATCTTATTGTTATTGACGTCCGAATTTTAACACCATGGACTGCAATGTATAGGTCAAGTCTGTACTCCCTCGTTCACTTTGTGAATATGGTGGCTGTGGATATAGTGAGGCAGAATGGGAGGTTTCACTGCTCAACGTCTCTATCGTGCAATTATACTGTGGAACATTTTTGGGATTATTGCCTGGGGGTGCTACAACTAAGCGAAAAAACATCAAGATAAAAAAGGTCATAAAAAAAACTGGTACCTTTGAGGGTTTTACTATACTGACCTGGTACCATTACCCTGACTTGGAATTTCTCACCCCCCAGATTAGCTGTTGTACTGTGTTATCAGCGTACGAGGTGACAGAAATTCCCCCTGATGGAGAAGGGAGTTTCGAAATGTAGGAAATTAACAGCAGCACGGAGAGGACAGTATACCTGATTGCCGACCACTCACGTACACTGTAGTTCATAGTCCACCGCTTCACACTTGGAGGGAAGGCAGATTTTTCGATGTCGTCAAGTACTGTTGTGTGGCTGACTGTATCTCAAAGGCTTTTGAGAAGTCTAGCGCTGCGAGGATCGTCCTCTCGCAGGGTAGTTTTTGGTTCAGGCTTTGAACTAACTGGGCATTTATAATGCTAAGTGCTGTGAACTTTACGGTAGCCAAGCTCTTTGTTTTCTAGATTCAGGTGGTGAGTGAAAGTCACTCGGACGTTTGAGTTTGCAGAAGTCAGACGAAGTTAAATCAAGCAGTTTTGAGCGATCGGAAGGAATTCGGAGTGCAGCCCACCTTGATAATCGCAGAAAACTGTCAACAAGACCTTGATTTTTGACCGGCTTTGACGTGGTTATTCGGCTTCGGTTTAGCCTTGCCAATAAATTCGGCCAACTGTTCGTCTGTTTCCTGGACTTAAGCATCGATACAAGAGTCATCGCCAGTAATAATACGTTTTATGTAACCACTACGCTGCTTTACTTATTGTGATTCTGGAACCAACCGTTCACATTTCTTAGGCTTTTAAAATAGTTTCCACTGATCGTTCCGATCTCCAAAAATGCTCGCTAGGAAGAAAATTAACAACGATGACAGTAAATCGCCAATCGCGCGACGATTTTTGGTGTTTTACGATTTTTCCAAAGTATTAATCTTTAATGAAAGCACGTTATTTTTCGGTAATATCAATTTCACTAATGTGACATTTTTCAATTTTTTATTTCCCCATATTTACAATCATTTGCGTTATCCGATTATTAAAACTCATAAGTTCATAGATCACATGTACATTTGTAAATATAACAGGACTAAGTTCAGCTTAAAGTACACAAAACACACAACTGCACATTTCATACAAAAACTAATTTCACCTGGTGAAAATACTGCATAAAGCTTAACATAACTTTATATTTCCCATACACTACAACAACAGCCACAATTTGGTTGCGTAATTTTAGGGAGCAAACTTTGTTTGATTGAGGCGAACTTCCTCTGCAGTTTGCCGCGTCTCTTTCACTTTCGGCGGCGCCTTCGGCAAACTGAAGAATTTCTGTAAATAAAAACATATTCGGGTTTAACTAATATTCATCCCAATTTGCATGCCATATGCGCTTACGTCATGCTTGCCGAAATGCCGCGCCTCTTCCATTGTGTCGGGCAACTTCTTGTGCAGCGTCTCGGGCAGATAGAGCGCGCCAATGCCGCCTATGAAGAATAGAGTGCCAAGGATGTAGTAGGGCGCTCTTATGTTCACTGTGGTGCCCAAGTAAACGAGATATGGCGCAAAAACGCCGACCGCATTCGCGAGTATCGTGCCCAGCGCGATGCCCGTTTGACGCATGCAGGTCGGATAAATCTCCATGCTCTGCAGATTGACCGTGAAGAAGGTGAGCGCGTTGAGGAACTTGATAAATGTGGCCAGGCACACCATGACCATCTCATACTCGATATCTGAAATATTAAAGGCAAGTGTGTGAAACGTGATTTCTGTGAGCAGTTAGTCTCTCAAGTTTATTTTACCTGCCGCATAGATAATTAGCGGTATGCAGGCGACGAATGAGATGAGGAAAGAGGAAGAGTTCGTGAAGCGACGACCATAAGTATCACCTGTAAAGAGGTAAGCGTATTTTTTTTTATAATTTGGTTCAACAGAAGGTTGCTATGGCGCACTTACCGAGGTATCTGCCGAGCACATAAGCGGGTATTTCCACCACGCTCTGCAGCAGGAAGTTCAGAAATGGGTTGCCACCCATACGCGTGCTGAACAGCACCAGCGTAAAGTAAGAAACCGCTACAACACACCTGAAAATAAACGTTTTATTTGCTATGTGGCAACCTCATAGACTTCGGTTTGTTCCCCACAAATGGGCTGTGACCCATTTTGTGCGACCACAAATGGCAAAAATAAAGGCAATAGTAGAAGCATGTGTTGTAAGCTTTTTGCTGACCTACCAACTGAAGCCCATAATGGTTGTGTTGCGTGTCAGATGCCAGCCGCTGAAGAGCGACGCCATGCCGTATGTCACTTCGTCCACCTGCCGGTTGGTGTACATCTGCGCCAGCTCCTTCTCCGTCATGTCGAATTGGCGGCCATTAATTCTTGCAATTTTCTTAAATTGCGTGATCGCCTCGCCGTAACGGTGTTTGCTAATCAACCAGCGCGGCGACTCAATGACGTATCTGCGTGGAGAATTGAATTGAGAAAGACCAATTTACTATCTACTACTATCTACATATGTATATGTGTGGGATGAATAAGCGCTGCAGCTGCGAGAAATTATCAGAGCAACAACAAAAGTGCAATAACCGTGTGCTGCAATTGGAAGGGAGTATATTGGCGGCATAACCATAAAAACTCTTGTAAATTTCATTTCAGTCCGTCTGATGGACAAGCATATTTAGCAGCGTGCGCTGGCGGGCAGCGCGCAAAAAGCGAAACGTGTATCGGCGTAGTGGCGCGGTGTAGCGTGGCGGCGGCACGTGAAATTGAAACAATTGAATGAGTTTGATTGGATCCAGGGCAGCGCGCTCACCGGCCATTCGAAGTGATGTGATCTGATGCGATGCGCTCGAATGAAATTCACAAACGAAATCGATTTGAAAGCGCGCACAAATCGACAGTCTCACTGGCAAATCGTTGCTGAGTTGCCTCAGCATGCCGCAACACACGGGCACACACACGGGCGCGCGCACCTAGAAAGTCGTGCAAATGGATTGAGTGAATGAATGACCGTTTGAATGCGCGAGTAGCTGCCGCTTCATTTGCTGCTCCCCGCCTTGCCTCCGTTTTGCTTGCCACGCCACACACGTGCAACTGTACGGCACGTCGTATGAGCGACTTTCATGTTGTTAAACTGTAGCGCTGCATTTAGTACGATTTGCTATGCGCCTGCTGGAACTCGCCGTGCATTGCTGTACAGATTGGAGATAACTTTGTTGTTGCATCCAACATTCCCGTGTAGTTCGTGTATTGTTGTGTATGTATGTATGTATGTGTGTGTGTGTGTGTATACGTACTTGAAGAAAATTAAAACTATTGCGGTCGGTATCGTTGTTAGCCACATGAAGGCAACCCAATCACGTAGCCACCAGAAGAGCAGCGGCATCAACGATGTGCCAATGGACCAGCCAACGCTTTGGTAAATGGCGATGATGCTGCGGTCCTGTCTGCGAAAGATAAAAACAAGTAAATATCGTATACAAAGTGTATGTATGTATGTGTGTTTGTGAGATGAAAGTAGGCGAGTGGGCGCAACTTAAAGTGCTTAAACGTGCACTAAGTAGTCAGCAAGTCCCCACAAGCACATTAAAATTGTTTGGTATATGTGTCTACTTCTCAATAAACAGAAGAGATTTGAATCAAGCAAGTCTAGCTCTAGTAAAAGTAACCATCTCTTGTTCTCTAATATTTTCAATCGCATGCAGTTTAAAAATGCATGGCCTCGTGAAATCTAATTGAAAAATGTATCGCATGCAAACATCGACATGCAATTTAATGCGTACTCGTGTAGTGAGTGCATTAGTGAGAGGAGAGTTAAAGCGGGAAAGTATTTCCTGAGAGAGCGAGAGAGAGAGAGCAAGTATTTCTTTTGAATCATTGTTGAAGTTTTACATTCTTGGGCTTCAGATTGAAATTTTCTACAGTTCTGTGCTTGAACTCGACTTTCTGCCTCCTTTCACTATTCAGTATTAGATTAAAAAAGAAACTTGGCTTACACCGCCCTATACTGGGCTGGGTCTTGGATGAAAACTATTTTTTTCGAGAGATTGCAACAGGAGGAAAAAATAATTATTTCTCTGTATTTCGAAGCTAGCCTCCAATTTTGAAATATTTAACTTCGAATTTCGAACTTCACACCATCTACATTCTAGCCAGTATTTTTTTTTACTATAACTCTCCTCTCGTGTTCAACTAATAAGTAGCAGGGCTTCACGGACGCTTGTACAACGCTGGGGTTTTATTTAAGATCGATTGCAAGAGATCTAGTGATCTTTTCGCCCTCTGTAAGGCCAGCCTCTTCGTAGTTGTGGAGTGTTTAACAGGGCAGTGCTCCATTGATTTCCAATTCTGGGTATCTTACCAGACGGCATTTGCAGAAGTTGCAAGGAAGAAGATGCCGTCTAAATAACTCAACACTTCCTTCTTGACTGTCTCACGTTTGAGAGGTCAAGGCTTAAACACTTGGGAGCGCAAACCTTTAGGCATCCCACCGAACTGGCGGAATGACTATGCAAATCTGTATTGGTTTTTAAGCGTTTTGCTAATTTATAAGTTCGAATACGAAAGTTCTTCTTTTTTACGGCTGCACAAAGGATTACTATCTAACCCCACCTAATCTATAGCTCTCCAATTTCTGGTTTCTTTCCAGTTCTTCCAACCAAAATATGTATCCATTCCGTATGCGAAAATCTGTTTATCTGACTTTGCTGACGCTTTTTGCCTCCGTTGGACAAAGCTTATTATCTTTGACAGCCCAGAATATAAAAGTAAATCTTTTTGCCATTTTTTTCAACATAGTTCCCTTCAAGGGTGGTACACTGATTATAAGAATCTCTAAACTTGTCGATATTATTTTCGTAGTGCGATTTGTCCTTTGCTTCAAAAAAGTTTAAGTTTCAGTCTTTTGCGATTTGAGAACAGGAAATAGTTGGTAGCGGCTAGATTTGGAAAATACGGTGGATGCGAAAATAACTTGACACAATTCTACCGATACAACAGTAACAACCACGGAAGCGATTCGAAGTCTAATTCATGGATTTTTGACATCATACCTCGTGTGACTTGTGACACGGTGTATTGGCTTGGTGAAACAGCACATTATTTTTCTTCCAGACTAGGCTTTAGGAATAAAATGACCCTGGCAACATACAGCTAAATAGATTATTCTCTTTAAGAAATAACACTATCCACCGAACAAGTAGAAACATATCAATAAAAATACATCCGTATTCTGGGCATTGATTCTCACACAACATTACGGTATTTAATTAAGAGTTTGATAATATTGTGTTTGTTGTGATTGTTTGTTATTTTATTGCAACACTTACTCTCTCGATATTTCCATGCCAACAATCTGTGGCGCTTGGAACAAACTATTCACCGCAAAGCCAGTTAATCCCGTGCAGAAGAGGAACACATAATAGACATTGGTGGTTATGATGGAGAACGATCGTCCCAGCGCGCAGCAGCCGACGCTGATGTAGTAGATAAAGCGCCGGCCAAAACTAAAGTAGCACGAAAGAAAAGTGAGCAAAAATTACAGTCAATGAAACGGCAAACAAAGTAAAGAGAGAAGCGAGTTTAAGTAGTTGCAGTTGCAGCGCTGAAGCCGAGCATCGCGTCAGCGGAAAAACATTTTCAATTATCCGCCTGCCGCCGCATTACAGAGCTTTACACTAAATTTCTATTTAATCCAACTGTGGCCAACAGCTATTCGACCAAGCGCCGACATTAACGACGCCGCGCTGCAACTGTGGACTTACGAAGTGTCGCTGCACTTACACATCACCCATTTGTCCCAGCACAAATGATCCGATGACTTCTGTCACACGTCCCACAACAAATGTGTTCGTCACATACAAATCCTTGGCGCACACCCAGTTCTCCTTGCTCGGTATGGTCGACTCGTACCACGTCTGATCGTAGCTCCAGCCATGCTGACAATCTGCAAGACGGAAGCAATAGCAGGAAGGATGCATAAATGGCATAGCAGAAGGCAACAATCAACAAGAAATATATGTGTAAGCGGGGGGGGAAGTAGCTAGTGCAAGTGGGAGAGTGAGCATGTATTGAGAATTATGAGCATCTAACTGTCTATATAAATATGTATTTGTATGGAGGCGTTAGACTGGCTGTCTCCAGGGAAAGTCACAGCGTCTGACAGACGCTACATCTTTACAGTGACACACACACCCAGGCACACATCTATCGTTTAGCCGAGTTTGTAACTGTTTGTTAGTTGCTTGCCTCAGATTACAACAAAATTAAGGCAAACCGACTCGATCCAAGACGCTGCGTAAGAAATCTAAACAAAACTAAACTGAACTCGAGCAGGCCACAAAAGAAGCAGAGCGAGAAATATATTGAAACCAAAATGAAATTCAATGAAACGTAGTAACCGAAGCCAAGTTCTAGATTGAAGGGAGTTGAAGCGAGTGTTGAATTGTAAGTGGAAGTGGAAGTGAAATGAAATCGCATCGCTGTTGTAAGTGAAACGCATTAAAGTGCAAAGTTGTAAAAAGTTATGCCCGAGCAAATGGAAAAGTTACTTTTCCTCGTCACACGCAGGCCGCCGCCTTCTCGCACCCGCACCTTCTTCCCTCACTACAAGCGGAGTAGCGTGCTGTCTTTCTGCGCTCCTTGCGCCGCTCCGTTCTTGGTGTTTCCTGCTCATTGATTTAGTTTTTATTGCGAGCATTGCACTTTTGCTCTCGGTTTTATACTTTTTGCTTCAAATTTTGCTTGCCGCTCGGCTACAAGTTTTCACATTTTCACAATTTTCGAAGAAATATTTATTCGTGCGATTTGTGGAAAATTATCGCTGTTGCAAGTAACAAGTTTTTGAATTTTAATGTTGAATTTTTCGAAAAGTGTTATGCTCTGCTATGCGAGCTTTCAAAGTGCTCTTTGTGGATAATCCGAGAGTTAAAGGTTCTTATTTTTTGGTGGATTGATTATGCGCTGGTTGTATCTTTCTTCATGCTTTATTTTGTTGTGGTTATCGGCTTCACGTTTTACGTTTAAGAATTGGAAAAGAGACTCCGTTTGTGAATTCAATTAGAAGTGAATTAGAAGGTGAAATAGGGATCATGTTTATCTTAAGCATTATAAATAATTTAGTGAAAGGCTTCCTTGATTATTTTCACTTAGTGCCGCCTATTGCATTTTATGAGTGTTGTTTGTTCGTTTCACCAAGCACCGAACACAGTAGAATCACTGATACGAGCTAATTTCCTTTCTAATAAATTTTACCGAGAGTCATAACAATGTGTTTTTTTCTATGAGACCTGCATAAAGGAGTTTTTTCATTGAAATTATTGCATTGTAGGCAAGTTAGGTTAAATGGCTGATTGAAGATCGCACGTGGGCTGGCATATGATGTCCCTTGTGAAGACATAGAAAAGAAGTGCTCCCTGCAAAGGCATTTAATTTTAACTCTCGCCAGTTCGGTGGGAAGTCTGAGGATATGCGAAAGAAAGAAGTTTTGAGTTGTTTCCCCCCATCTTCATCCACACAATTTCTGCAAATGTCATCTGGTAAGTTTCCCAACCTTAAAGCATAGAACAATGGCCCGTTAAAAGTCCCACGATTAACGACGACTACCGATGATGGCCAAGCTTCCGCGAAGCCCACTTATGAAGTAGTAGAACACAAGAGAATACGGGAGCAACGATCAGCTCCTACTCCAGCTTTTAGCTGTAACAGTCAGGAAATCTTAAGCTGGAGTTGATAGAGAGCTTCTGACAGTAAACCCCCAATCTTTCCATCCCACTGCAAATGAGTTCAAGGTTAATGTCGGCACTTTGCTATCTGAGTGAATGGTCACTTCTCCGAAGGACGCTGCACAACGAAGCAGCAGATCTATTATATGATTATAACTTGGGCTGGAAGGCACTGAAATAGTCAAGAAGTCTGAAGCTAGCGTTGGTAGAAAGCTCCTGACAGTAAACTCCTGCACCAACTTTCCCTCCAAGCTTTGACCCATCCGTAGAGAAGTTCACTATCCCTCTCCTCCAACGGCTTCTTCCCACCCATAGGTCTCTCCTGGATATATGGGCAGAGAGGGAGCCGCAAGAGTTTGGCTTGGCTACTCCATGATCTAAGTGATGTAGTATGAATTCAAAGTATGGGAGGATACCCGATTGTTCTGATACGTGTTCTTTTAAGAGCCCATAGCCTTTGAGTTTGATAACTACTATGGGCACTATTTTCAAAATGGCTTTGTAGCCAAGTGAGAGCAGTTTTCTCTAATTGTTTTCAGCATTGTGTTCGATACTGTCAGAGCTTTGAGATTGCGTTGGTGTTCACAAGTGTTTTCGAACATCTTTAACCTTAAAATTTTCTCTATCGGAAACCACACAATACACATTCATATAAAATATAGCTTTCGCTTTGCACTCATCCACGCTCGTTCTTCAACTTTAGAGCACKATCTTTAAACTCATTCCTTCTGTTCGAATCAGACCCTATAAATTAAGCAGCGTTTTGCAATTCGTGTTGTATTGCTAAGCAAACTTCAGCTTGTCCCACTCGTATTTTATGGATGCAAATTTTCGCTCAACGCCACAAGTCAAATCCATTTTTTTCTCGCAAACAGCAATAGGAGCGTTTCTTTCTTGCCACGCAGACTATAAATCAATTTGCCGACGCTGTTAGACGGTCAATGTGTGAATGGCGAAAAAAGTCAAAAACGCTTCCGCATATGTGTATGAAAACGAGTTACGGCATGATAAAAAATGTATGAGAAAGTGTAAAACCTGAATGGGAAATAAACGAAATTAGAAAAGGATAACAGCCGGAGGAGAGTAAGTGCAACAATGCTTTAAAGTGGTAACGGTAAAGTAAGCTTCGTAACAAGAGGAAGATCAGAGAACAAAAAATTATCCAGGTAAAATTTCATGGATGTTCTATTGTGATCTTAAGAAGGGTGATCTCCGATGTCATATGCCGAAAAGCTGATTTCTACTCGACATGCACTCATGTTCTCTGCGAGCACTCATCAGCAACTCGGTATATAGAAACTGTGGAATGGCATTTCAAGCTCGTTAATTCTGCCTTCTCCAGATTGGATAGGGAAGCGAAGCAAATGGGTCTGTAGAAAACGAGGACAAGGCGAAATATCTCGACGCACTTGCGACTTGGCTCCCTCGACACTGTTGACAGTCATAGCTTCGAAATCGGAGACAATATCCGATGAGTCGGTGTTACGAGTTTTCGAGACATGCGCATTGCTACGATGGCAAATCATGTCGCCCGAATGGATAAAAATACTCCAGCTCCTGCCAGGGGAAGCAGGAAGATCTCCACTCAGTTGGAAAGACCAGGTGGAGAAGTACCAAGCTACACTTGAAATCTCGAAATGGCGCTAAACAGCGAAAACGAAGAACAATAGGGACGACAGCAGGACGGAGATGATGAGCGACTTGTAGAGTTTGGTCTTTGTCACCTGTTTGGTATCGAACTGCTCGGATAGGTCTTTACCGATCCTGATAAAGATTTTAGGATTTACTCATGCTCGTGCTCGTCATTCGATTTCAAAGGGGGGTCTTTCCTCTGTGGCTGTCTTCTACTTTTCTTTGTGGGTGTTTTTTACGTGGCGGGTCTCTGGGGAGGATATATAGAACTCCCTGTGTCACTCTGAGCGTGCCTCCTTCTTCTCAGCTACTGATTAGCCAATTATTTGATGCTTGAGAGCTGATAATAGGAACAAAACTTAACATAATCTAGCATGTCTTTAAGAAACTGCAAGAACCATTTGAGTTAGGTAAAATCTCACTTCTCTCTCATACAAGCACCGTTGTGTAAAAGTCAATGTTTGAGTTTTGTGGCATGTGTTCGAATGTATGATTGCTTACATAAGACACATGCACAAGTATAGTTACATATTGATTTGTCGGTGTTTAAGAGTTCAAAGGCAACGTACCTACCAAAACACCATGTACTAAGTCGTTATAGGTGTACTGGTGTAGCTCGCAGCCATTACTCACCTGTTACATTTGTCTCGGTTTTATTCCAACGCAGCCAATCGTCGATTTCCGTGAAATTTGCATTATACATCTCGCAGTTGCTATGCTTGCTGGCGCCGCGATTATCCTTCTGTCTGTATGTATGTATGGGCCCACATTGGTTCGTGTGTTTGTTGTTGGTGTGCGGGCGGGTGTGGGTGTGGATGGTGGTAGAAATGCAAATACAAATAAAAGAATCGAGTTTAAATTTTAATTTCCACCATGGGAGCGACTTATTAGGTGGAATAAAATGAAATGAAATGAAATCAAATAAAATACCGTGAAACAACGGAGTCTAACCGCGCACTCGCTGGTTCGATGCACAACGTGAAAAGTCAACAATGAACAGATGAACAGCTGCCAATTGTTGGCGAACCAACTCACCTTGCTCTTATTCAAATAAAGTTGATTCTCTTACGAAATGAAAAATGCTGCCACACATGAGTACATATTTGGACACATAAGGGTGGTACTTAATATCAATTTTTGTAAATTTTTWGAGGCCAATTTGATTTTGTACAAAATTGAGTTTAATATTGAAATTAATATTTGAAAAATTTTATTGGATTTTTTGGGGTTTTCAAAAGGGACGCTAAAAAGTGGACCGATAAGCACAGCAAACGAAGTCTTATCTTCTTCCGCTCTTTTGACATTTGTCTTTAGTAAAGCTTGCCATTTCATCATGCGATGCAACAACTAGTCGAAAATATTACTACCGAAATTCGGAGTCAGTGGCTTCAACCTTAAGAGCGTTACGTCCAAATATGGTCGTCATAATCGTCCTGTCAGATCAAAAATTGAGCGTCTAGTGCAAAAATTTTAATTCACAGCAGAGTACAAAATGTTCCCGTGCCAGTGAGACAAAGAAGTGCCGGTAGTGTCGAGAATATTACTGCCGCTGGCATATCAGTTGAGAAAGACGTAAATCAGTCGAACGACGTGTGAGTTCTCAAGCGTTGGGCATTTCTGTGATGTCGTTGTGGTGAATTTTGTGGAAAGATCTTGGCCTACATCCTTACAAGATTCAATTGACGCAAGAACTGAAGCCGTTTGACCAATAAAAATAAATAAAGGATCTTTCGTTGCACTTAAGTATCACCCTAATAGAAAAGTACACATGTGTATACTTACACACACATACTTATTTGCACTGTTCCGAATTTGCATAGTGCTCATATTACTATGCGCATACTTACGTCGGCAACGTCATACGCCGCCACTCATCCAGCGAGTAGTTCGTCAGCTCCTGCCCCGGCACGGTGCACCAGTGCTCCGGAATGTCGAGGGCCAATATGATATTCATATATACCATCGAGCCGGCGGCGGCCAAAGCCAGCACGAATGTCATGTTGTAGATGAGCTGGAAGCGTCCGTGATTGCCGACGCGCTCCATAATCTTCTGGAAGGGATCATTTGCTTCCGATTCATCGAATTCGTCCTCCTCCTCTTCCTTTGACACAGTTTGTTTGTTGACATCGCCATTCTTTACTTCATCCAACATCTTTTTTTCTTGCATGTGTGGGGTTATTTGTGCATCTACTTGGTTGTGGCTGTCACTTCAAATTTGGTGTTTAGCCCAAAGACAGTGATTCACGCTTCGGTGATAGATAATGGTGGTCTGGAAATAAAGTTGCATTTGCATAAGTATTAAAAGGCTGTGATAAGCAAGGTGAAATATATGGATTTAGTGCCCACTTTAAGTGCCCATATTAAGCTTTTAACTCCGCGCTGTCACAATAAAGCAAAAAAATTCGCAATAAAGTGAAGTGCTTTACTGATTTATTGGAGTAATATTCAAATGTACAAAGGTTCTTTCTAATTGTTATCAGTTGTGAGAAAACCAAATTTTAAGTTTGTGATTTTATGAATGTGTTTTTATTTGTTTACTAACTAAACTTTATAGCACAGCGCAATTATCGCGTACAATGCCCCTCAGCTTTCTATTTGGTCACATTTTATCTAAATTTAATTTTTCTCTGGGTTCTATTAAGGTACCTCACATGCAATCAACAAAGTCAGCCGGATATTCGAAGTTAAAGTTTTCGCCCAATTGTATTTATTTTAGGCACACAGCTACACTGTTATGAGTAAAACATGCTCTCTAATTTTCAGTTCGAAATCCTTTATATTAGGCCTATGGGGGTTAAAGGAAATATTGACCCTGTTTAGTTGAATTTGAACAATTTTTAGTCATAAGTTGGCACACAGTAAATACTTTATTCCTCCAAAGTTGTATCCCATTATAATAATTGCTACATGATTTGTGTACTGGAGAGTGAAAGAATCAAGTGCAATTTAAAATTGTGCTTTATGAGAAGTAGGCGTGGTTGTTGTCCGATTTCGTCCATTTTCGAACTGTAGTATAGGAATATGAGAAGAATGCTGCCTACTTCATTTGGTCACAATCGAGACTAAATTAAGAGTTTTATATCTTCATTTGTTGCTTGCTTAGTTATAGCACTTAATAAGTTAAGATTATACGTTTGCTTAATCTTGCCAAGATATATTGAAGGTTAACCGATATTTTTTGCAAAAAATCAGCCATAGACTTTTGTCACGCTTTAAACTTTTTGCTTATGGGCGTTTTATAGAACTCGAGAGCCCAGGAGCTTTTGTACCAAGTCTCCTATATATATCTAAGTTTTCGATTGGTTGAATGAACGGACTCACAGTTAAAACGTCTCGTCATCCTGATCATCATTTATAACACCATATCTATGTCGTTCTTCCTTATGTGAATAAAACTGTTATATACTATTCAACATTTTGCCATAGAAAAGTAAGTTAAGGACCTGCAACTTGGAAGCATCCCATTAGAGCAGAAATTGCCAGTTCACGCTCTAAGCTCTCTGTGATTATGGACATTCGAGCTTTTTATCGGCAGAAATAAGATATACAATACAATGTAGGCATTGTCTCTTCTACATAATGTCAAGTTTATAACACCGGGCCGAAAGTTGAGGAGTCCCAACTTCTGGACTTGAAATAAGGCAGTAGGATTCACAAATCCACACGTATAGCAGATGGTATTTTGCTTAATTGGCAAAGAGCTGAGGGAGTACTAGGTCTCACCTCAATAAACATTTTATTATATTTTATTCCTGTGTGTATTCTAAAAAACTCAGTTCAACCAACTGTTAGCTAACACCTAAAATTCTCCTTCGTTTTTTATAAATTATCGATAAAATGAAGATGATTTTGATTTATACTACACATGTCGAAATTGGTTTCTATGTAAAATTTTGATACCCCGAAAACTTACTAATGTTCAGATTTTATTTTAGAAGATGTTTAAAATGTTCAACTAGTTATATTAAGTTAAGAGAAGTCGATTCTAGGAGGGATCTCATTTTGACAGCTTGGTCCGTTGTGGCACACATACAAGTATGTATATTAAGCTTTAAAAAAAGATTTAAAAAGTTCTAACCCACATAAGTTAGGGCGATATATTTATTTTCCGAAGAGTTTTAGAGAATCACAATTCGGATAAATGCTTTTAAGATTAAGATATTACTAAAGTTGAACTTCAGGCGACCCTTCAAGCTTGTGAAATACTGCCGTATCTTCCAGGCGATTAGAAAGCAAACAACGCAAAAAAAAAAAAAAAAACAACATAAAGAAGATCAATATATATGTCGATAGCCTTAAGGCAATAATCTCACATCGCACTATCGGAAAGCGGCTGCATATATACTGGATTCCAGGCCACAAAGGAATTCTTTGAAACTAAATACCTGTTGAGTTTGCAAAACATGAGATCCGTCTGAATACCTCACCAGTCCAGGATATACGGAAATAATTAATAACGATATACAATGGCTGCCAGACAGGTCAGAGCGAGATGCCATGTTTTGGGGACGTGCCGAATCATCAATATATCATGTACAAGAGTTCCTCGGAAAAACATGCATGCTTTTTACTCATTCGGTTTTGAAAAAATTGAAGGACAGTTGTGGGCATAATGACTGGTCACAACTTACTGGCACCACACGCGCGCGATACAGGCAGAAAGTGCAGGGAAGTAGGTTTGAGAGAGACGCTGGAACACCGCCTATGCCTCTGCCCAGCTTTAGCTAGAACTCGTCGGTGATATCGAGGAATTGTGCAGTTCAAGATACTAGATGAAGTTACAAAATTATACATCAAGTCTCTCTCAAAGTTCACAAACTCGTTGACGTACTCTATGACGAATTCTTCACCTCCACTTAAACTGAACTTGCATCTGACATTACTAAGTCTTAGTAATGACGGGACAACCGGCTATTACTACTTAATCTAACATTAAACTAGTTTCATCCGTTATTTGACTAAATGCTATGTTACTATAATTAGCTGTAATTATAACGAATGCGGTCCGGAGGATAAGGATTTTTTTTTTGTTAAATGAAGCAATATTTTATAGGAAGTTAATCAATCAAGTCTAGACTCATTTTGCGACTGCAATGTTAAAGGTTACTTCTTGCTAATTTTGGGTTGCTAAAACCGAAATAGATAGTCACATTTTCCTAACACGTAATATATTTTGTGATGTATGGATCAAACTAATATAAGATAACTGTATTGGAAATGTACGGCCAATTTTTGAACTCAAATTCGTAATCAGGACACCTCAAATACGCCGCAGACAAACATATCTGTGGCAAATTTTTCCTTCAGTGTTATTTAACTAATTTAACTCCGCTCGTGAGAGTAAATTATTGTATGAGGTTGTCAGAAAAGTCTTGCGGTATTTTTTATTTATTTTATTTTATTTTATTTTATAACGGTTTGATGACTCATGTCCAGCTCTTGACCGATGCTACTGCTGCTACTATGCCGGTCTCTTTCGACCAATTCAGCGATTTTATTGCAATTTTCGACGACAGGCCTTCCGGTACCTGTCGCATCTTCGACCACCTCTACACCGGAACGAAAACGTTTAAACCATCGTTATGCAGTGGAAATAGAAACTGTATCGGGTCCACAAACTGCACAAATTTTACTGGCGGCTTGAGATGCTCCTTTGCCTTTATCGTAGTAGTACTGTAAAATATGCCGTATTTGCTCTTTATTTTGCCCCATGTTTGCGACGCTATAACTCACGAACGACTTAAAAGAAACGACAATCAATCAAACACGTGTTAGCGCGTGAAATGAACTTTCAAAAAAGGTATAGCATGACCCGATGCTACAAATAAAACTAGAACTACGCGGTCTCAGCGCCAACTAGCGAAAATACCGCAAGACTTTTTTGCTTTAGCTGCCGGTTATTTGCATTTTTTTGTTGAATTTCACTTTGGTTTTATCACACATTATGCGTGCATATTTCACTTGTGATTCAGTAAGAAATCTTCGCCGTTTGTGACTTGCCATTTAGAATTGCACAATTTGCTACAGTTTTTATTGAGGMATTGCAGGGTTAATTTTTTTATGAAAATTATTTTGTATAAACATTTTAATGAATTTTTATAAACTATTTACATATAATTAATGAGTTTAGTTATAAATGATTACCCTCCAGAATTTACAGCACCAATTAAAATTTTTTATTAGCACTTTGTTGTTATTAAATTTTTCTGTGTTCTTCAATAAATGTCTACAAAATGTACAACTGTACAACTCTCGCGTTTTCTCAATGAAAATACGAAAAAAATGCGAACGAAACTTTCCGCATTCACTCTAAAAACTATTCAAACGCGATATCACATTGGAAGGCATAAAATGACCATTCACCTTTGTAACAACAATTTTGCATTAGGTGATATAATTAATAATTATAAGCCTTAAGCTCAAACCCGTTGTTGCAGCATATGAGTGTTGTACAGTTATTTCCAAGGAATACAATGTTTAAATTTAACTTTCCACTACATGCCAATTCCAGTTCCAGTAACCGTGAACTATTTCGAGATTTGATCTTGTTTTGGTAAGCGTTAAATTTAATATGACATTAAAATAGCATTGTCAAGAATTAAAATCAAATAATCAGCACGAAGGCAGGCGGACAAAAAAAAAAAAAAAAAAAAAAAAAAATAAAAAAAAGATATTAAAAGTAAACAGTGTTGGCTCGTTGGTTATCGGTGGTGATAA